TTGGAGTTCTCAATCCTGGGCTCCCTGTCTCCTACAGTCGGTTTTCTACTTCGCACGATGGTCCCGTCGGTGTATCGCTGGCAACCAAAGTCGCTGTTCACATCACCGCCCATCACAATCGTCGTACGGCTGCCTACTCGGTCGACACACTGCTCTAACCATTTAGTTATAGCATCTGCTAGTGGCACGTAGTACGAGAGATGGGTGGGGGCGTAGTAGTAGACAAAGAGTACGTAGTCGTATTGGCTTGTCGAGAGGCGAATTCCTGCAACCCGTCCCTGGAGGCTGGTCGGTGGAGTGTAGATCTCTCGTATGCTGCGCTCGTCGATTCTCTGACTGATGAGGATCGTTAGTCCGCAGCTTTTGTTGATCCACTTCCCTTTGCGGGCACCGAATTGTAGCACGTAGTGGTTAGGGAGATAGTGTCGTTGCACTGCTTCTGCTCCCGCCCATCTACATGTGCCGCTGAGGAGGATAACGTCCCAACTGTGTAGTTCGGCACTGATGTCCTCTAGTCGTTCGATGCTCGCTGCCTCCTGGGGGATGTAGTAGCAGATTCTCATGCCTAGGCGCACGGACTCGCCATGCGGGCCCCCCAGTCCCCCCTGCCCCCGAAGCCTGAAGGTGTGGGCGCAAAATCGCTGATGTACAGTTGTACGTGAGGTGCGGTCGGTCAGCTTTTGGGCACCTCAAACAGCGACTAGGAGGAGGAGGAGGAGGAGGAGGAGGAGGCGGAGGAGGAGGGGGAGGAGGAGGAGGAGGAGGAGGAGGAGGCGGAGGAGGAGGAGGGGGAGGAGGACAACCTAGGTGCGCTCGCGTCATATCTGACGTCCTACCCCTCCCTCCCATCCCTTACCATGGCGCTGCTATTCTCTATCCGCGGACGCGTGTCGTAGCGGACCTGTGGCTCCGCGCTCGCGTGCGTAGTGGGTGGTGGTGCCCGTGCGTGCGTGCGTGCGTGTGTGCGTGGTTGTGGTGGTGATGGTGGTGGTGGTGGTGGTGGTGGTGGTGCTGGTGCTGGTGCTGGTGGTGCTGGTGGTGGTGGTTGTGGTGGTGGTGGTGGTGGTGCTGCTGGTGGTGGTTGTGATGGTGGTGGTGGTGGTGGTGGTGATGGTGGTGGTGGTGGTGGTGGTGGTGGTGGTGGTGGTGGTGGTGGTGGTGGTGGTGGTGCGGCGCGGTGGTGGCGGGCGGATGGGCGCGCGAGAAAGGCCCGCGCTGGGGCGAGAACGCCATCCTGAACGACGGAGGCCAAACACCGATCCGAAAATGAGGCCCACGCTGCAGCGGGAGCACGATTCGGAACGATTCGGGAGCAGAAATGAGGCCGGCGCCTCAGCGAGAGCAGCATTTTGAAAAAACGCAGGCGAAAACCCAACTCCCGGGAATCCTGTGTGTAAAAAACAGTACGCGGGGGGGGGGTCGGCCATCTTCGGACGCCATCAGGGGAAGTGGGACAGTATTTTCATATTGTGTAATTGTGGAGAGGAGGAGGGAGGAGGAGGAGGAGGAGGAGGAGAAGGAGGCTGGAGGAGGAGGAGGGGGAATAGGGAGGAGGAGGCGGAAGGAGGAGGGGGAGAGGAGGGGAGGAGGAGGAGGGGAGGGAGGGGAGAGGAGGAGAGGGAGGCCCGGAGGAGGATGCGGCCCTTCGCCGCCCGACGGGGCAGCTCCCCGTGCCTCGCGCGGCCCCCTCCCCCCCCCGTGGCCAAAGGGGGGCCTCGGGCGCCGGGGCCTCCCCGCCCAGCACTTTGGCCCCGAGGCCCTGGGCTCGGGTCGGGCGTGTCCTCCCTGCTCCTCCTCCTCCTCCTCCTCCTTCTTCTTTTTCTTATTCTTCTTCTTCTCATTATTATTATTATTATTATTATTATTATTATGTTTATTCTTATTATTATTCTTATTATTATTCTTCTTATTATTATTATTCTTATTCTTCTTCTTATTATTATTCTTATTCTTCTTATTATTATTATTATTATTCGTATTCTTATTATTGTTATTATTATTCTTATTCTTCTTCTTAGTATTAATACTATTATTACTATTATTAGTTTTATTACTATTATTATTATTACTATTATCAGTATTATTGTTATTCTTCTTCTTATCATTATTATTCTCCTAAGTATTAGTATTATGTTTTTTTATTATGACTATTAATATTAGTTTTATTGCTCTTCTTAATATTAATATTAGTATTAGTATGATCATGTGTATTATTACTATTCGTACTATTATTATTCGTCTTCTTAGTCTTCTTCTTACTATTCTTCATATTATTATTCTTACTATTATCATTATTCGTCCTCCTCCTCCTCCTCCTCCTCGTCCTCCTCCTCCTCCTCCCTCCTCCTCCTCCTCCTCCTCCTCCTCCTCCTTTCCTCTCCTCCTGCCTCCTCCTCCTCTCCTCCCCTCCTCCTCCTCCTCCTCCTCCTCCTCCTCCTCCTCCTCCTCCTCCTCCTCCTCCTCCTCCTCCTCCTCCTCCTCCTCCTCCTCGAGGCACGAGGAGGCCACAGCGATGCAGTCGCAAAGGCTCCCAACTGCGCGCTCTCGCGCCGCGCGGAGCGCGAGAGCGCGAACACATTCGCGCTCTCTCGCGCCGCCTCCCAGGGGGGAAGAGGAGGATGAGGAGGAATCGGAGCCGAACCGCGAAGCGCGTAGCGCGAATAGCTTCGCGCCCTCGAGGGCGCCCTTGGGCCCCGAGGCCCTGGGTTCGGGTCGGGCGTGTCCTCCCAGGGGCACGAGGAGGCCACAACGTTGAAGTCGGGCCTGTCCCTCTACAGGGGAAGATTCAAAAATAGCAAAAAACAAAAAACAAAAAAAAAAAAAAAAAAAAAAATACTCTCGGGACGATTTGTTGACTATTCTTGATACTTTTTGGCGTATATTTTGAGTCTTTTGAGTTTTTCGCCCAACATCCCCCTGTAGGTGGACAGGCCCGACCTAATGCCACGAATAGGAGACATCGATTACGACCCCATCCTGGAGCCTCGATCGACGCTGGCCCCTGAGATGGCCGACCGCCCCCCTCACCAGGGCCGCCCCCGCCGACCGCCACCCCGGAGGATGAAGGGTATGCTTCAGTGGATGCTTCGCTGCTGCGGTCGTTCGGCCAGGCGGCAAGATTCAGGTCGGGCGTGTCCCCCTACGGGCGGATCTTGGACGAAAAACAACGCACACCCAAACAGGGCCCCAGAAACCAGTCGACGCACCGCCCAGACATCGTCCCCGGACTATGATTTTGTTTGACGACTCTTGCCCACTCCTCCTGCAGAGGGCCATGCCCGACGTAACTCGGGGTTGCCTCCTCCTGCTGGTGACGGCAGAGCTGAGCCAGGGCCGAGCCTCCCTCTCGCCCAGGAGGCTCGTGGCAGCACCGTGGCACAGTGGCCGCGCAGGCCCCCTGGCGGCCTCGGCGGCCCTTGCGACGGCCCCGGTGGACCCGCCGCAGGAGGAGGGGGAGGAGGGGGAGGAGGAGGAGGAGGCGGAGGAGGGGGAGTAGGAGGAGGAGGAGGAAGAGGAGGAGGAGGACAGGAGGAGGAGGACAGGAGGAGGAGGAGGAGGAGGAGGAGGAGGACAGGAGGAGGAGGAGGAGGACAGGAGGAGGAGGACTCCAGCGGCCTCGGTGGCATCCCCAGAGGCCTGCCCAGCAGCCTCGCTGGTCGCCATTGCAGCCCTGCCTCCTGCACTCCCTCGCGTCCTTCATGTCGCCGACCTCCTCCTGCGAGCCTTTTCTTCACGGCAGCCCCTCGCTGCCTTCGCCAAGGGCCCCTTCGAGTGGCCCCGCCAGCAGCAGATCAGCAGCGCGGTTATCAGCAGGCGAGGACGCGCTGCGGCTTCCCCAAGGGGGGATGCTACGTGAGCCCGCCGTAAACAACGACGACGACGACGCCGACGCCGACGCCGACGCCGACGCCGACGCCGACGCCGACGCCGACGCCGACGCCGACGCCGACGACGACGACGACGACGACGACGACGACGACGACGACGACGACGACGACGAGAGAGAGAGAGAGACCGAAAGAGAGAATTGAGAGAGAGATAGAGAGAGAGAGAGAAACTTACAACTAATGATCCAGGCGAAGGACCCAACCATTTTCAGTTGCGAATGCAATCGTTGCGAGTATCGCCTTAAGTGGAGCTCCGTATGGGGCCACGACACGTGTGAGGGGTGTGCCGAAATGGGCGGGAGGGACGCACGCAGACTGCGCCGCTGGGACCTCCAGTGGAGCTCCCAGTGGGGCCACAAAGCGCGTGAGGGAGTTTGCCGAAAGAGGTGGGACGGACGCATGCGGGCTGCACCACTGGGACCTTCGGTGGAGCCCCCATATGGGGTCACAAAGCGTGTGAGGGGTGTGCCGAAATGGGCGGGGCGGACGCATGCGGGCTGCGCCACCGGGACCTTCGGTGAAGCTCCCTGTGGGGCCACGAAGCGCGTGAGGGGTGTGCCGAAACGAGTGGTGCGGACGCATGCGGGCTGCGCCATGTGGACCTTTGGTGAGGCTCCGCACAGGGCCACGACACGTGTGAGGGGTGTGCCGAAATATGAGGGGCGGACGCATGCGGGCTGCACCACTGGCACCTTGGGTGGAGCTCCCGATGGTGCCACGAAACGTGCGAGGGGTGTGCCCAAAGGGTTGACATGAGGAGGGCAGGAGAAGGAGGAAGAGGAGGAGGAGGAGAGGAGTGAGGCGGGGCGCTGTCTCTTCAAAACAAGGACCCGACACAACAGGATGGTTGGCAAAAACTGAACACCCAAGGGCTCCTCCGAGCCCGCTCTTCTGCCAGAATCGTTCCTTGACGGCCTCAGGCCAAGGGAGGGGTCCCGCAGGCCGAAAACGACCAAACGAATGAGGACTCTTCTCCACCAAGGCTCATAGGACGTCCATGGAGACAACAAACTGGAAACCGATCGAACCCACTGCGAAACCGAAACCTACCCAAACAAACAACGAACCGAAATCGGTCAAAGACGCAGCAACATCACAATCGAGCGAACGGAGCCGAACGATCGCGGCCGACTGCGACACAGCCGACTGAGACGCACCGAACCGAGCCGCGGCCAGAGCCGACCTCGCGGGCCCAGCCGAGCTGCGGCGCGGCCCACCTTTTTGAGCTCATGGCAAGGTGTGGCTTCGAGAGCGATCCGCGGAGGGCTAAAACCTCCAGGCGCAAGGGGGGGTGGGGGGCGGCCCGCGTCCACACCACAAGCGACGGGGTCGGCGCCCCCCCCCCCCCACCCCGAGGCGATCTAAAATCGCCGCGTCATAAAATGCTGCTATAGAAGCAAAACAGGTCGGCGAAAGCCGCCACCGCGCCCTCGGCGCCGTCGCGTCGTGCGAGGATGCTGTGTGGCGCCGTGGAGGGCTGTCTGTTTGAGGGGCTCCTCCCCCCGCTCGCCAGACCTGCGGCGCTGTCCAGGGGCGGTCTGGGGCTCTCTGGGAGAAGGTATGGGGGGAAAATGGCGAGGGCTCGCTCTTCCGAGCTTACTGATGATCCGTCCTCTCTATCTCTCTCTTTCCCTCTCTCTCTGTGTATATAGATGTATCGTTCTCTCTCTCTCTCTCTCTTTCTCTCTCTTTCGGCCCCTCCCCCTGTGTGTGTGTCTCGCTCTCTCTATTTCTCTTTCTATCTATCTTTCTCTCTCCCTCCCTCCACAAAAATTGAAAAGGAACCGCGCCGATTGCAACTCCATTTCGCTTCTCTGTACGCCTCATCCTTCCAGCTGGGGGCTGGAAAAACAAAACAGAGTTCGAGCAACTAACGAGGGTGCCGCCAGAGTCTTGATCCGAGGGTGCCTGCCAGAATCTTAGCAGCGCTTTACACGTGCGTGGTTGAGGGAGTGCATCGTCAAAATGTCCTTCTTCCCCTTCGGGAAAGGGATTAACCTCTGCTCCGTACTATTCAAACACCCCCTCCCTCATTCGACCGTCGGCGGACCCGAAACCATGACTCCCCCCACCACCATCCTTGCCAAGAAGCAATACAACATTCACGCTGCGGCAGAATCTTGGACCACCCGAGGGCTTCCCGCGATCACCTCGCCTCACCTGTCCGGCATCTTGCCCGGCGCGAGCAGGCACACCACCCTGGCCAAAACCCAGCGGGGAGGGACTGCAGGCGCACATGCCGTGCACCACGATGCATCACCCCGCCGCAGCTCTGTTGCGTGCTGCCACGTGCGCCGGCGCACCGCCGCACACTCGGCACGCGCCGCGCAGAGGGGCGCGGGCGGAGCCACCCGGCACGCCCTGGCGCAATTCGGAGCACGCGGCGCCTCTGGAGCACCCCGCGCGCCTGCCACGCCTGGGGCGCCCGGTGCACCTCGGCGGCACCGCGCACCTGGCGTCTGCGCTGCCTCCGAACAGCCGCCCATAGGGGAACAAAAAGTGACATAGACATAAAAACTCTGAGGTCCGCGCGGATTTCTCGGATTGGCGCTGGACCCCCTTCCTGGCGCGCGGAGCGCGCCAGGGGCGGCGCCTGAGGCGCCGCCGGGGGGCCCCAGCGCCGATCCGAGAAATCCGCGCGGACCTCCGAGTTTTTCTGTTTTTGTCACTTTTTGTTCCCCTAGCCCATGCCGTGGCGAGCGCGGAACGTGCTGAGGCTCGGACGCCGCGCGTGTCGGGAGAGCGAGCGGGAGCGAGCGAGGCGGCTTGCGGCGTGCAAGTGGCTTGATCACTGCTGCTGACAAACGCCCCCTGCCCCACTCGGCCGGCGGACGGCCAAGAACCGTGCCGGCCGCCCCCTCACATCCCTGTCGAGAACGGCACAGAGCGCACGCTGCGGCTGAACCTTGGACCATGCGCGGGGGGGCCCGCGATCACTCTACACTGCGTGCTAGCCAGAACGGCGGGGGGCGCATGTTGCCGAAAGTTTGCGGGCCAACCATCCCTGCCCCAGGCCGCGGCCCCCTCGAGAGCTCCCCCTGAGGGACTCTGCCGCTCGAGGGCCGTCCTCCGCCCGAGGGTCTCTGCGCTCTTCGCACCCGAAGGCCTCCACCTCTGCCCCCTCCTCCTCCTGTCTCTCGAGCGCTGCCGTGCTCGAGGGTGTGCGCTCGCGCCTTCGAGCAGAGGTCGCCAGGGCTCCCAGCTGAAAATATTGGACCACGCGCGGGGAGCGCGCGATCACTTTGCACTGCTGTTTGACAGGGACGGCGGGGCGCCCGCACCCTGCCGGGTGCACGCGGGCTCACCCTCCCTTCATGTCGGGCCTGTCCCCCGACGGGGGGATTTTCGACGAAACATAAAAAATACCCCAAAAAGTAATCCAAAAATAATCAAAAAATCGTCTGGGGACGATCTTTGGGGTATTTTGCTTTACCTTGTTGGAATATTTGTGGGGTATTGTTGGGGTATGTTTGGAGTATTTTTGGTGTATGTGTTTGACCTTTTTGGGGAATTTCTGGGGTATCTTTAATTTTTCGTCGAAAATCCCCCTGTAGGGGGACACGCCCGACCTAGCCCTCCCTGTCGAAACCGGATGCGGTGTGCTTGCGGGCGCGCGCCCAGCCCGCCGGGCCGACCACAGCGGCACCAGGTCTGCAGCGGCGTCTGACAAAAATGGTGGGGAGGAGGAGGGGGAGGGGGAGGAGGAGGAGGAGGAGGAGGAGGAGGAGGAGGAGGAGGAGGAGGAGGAGGAGGAGCGGAGGAGGAGGAGGAGGAGGGGGAGGAGGAGGAGGAGGAGGAGGAGGAGGAGGAGGAGGAGGCGGTAGGTAGGAGGGAGGAGGAGAGGAGGAGGAGGAGGACGAGGAGGACGATGAGGAGCAGGACCAAGGAGGAGGAGGAGGAGGTGGAGGAGGAGGAGGAGAAGGAGGAGCAGGAGGAGGAGGAAGAGGAGGAGGAGGACGAGGAGGAGGCGGAGGAGGAGGAGCAGCAGCAGGGGGCCGACATGCGTCCCTGTGCGTGCTGCCACGTGTACTGGCGCACCTGGCATACCCTGCACGCGCCGCGCGCGTGGCGCACCTGGTGCGGGCGGAACACGCGCACACTCGGCGCATGTGATGCCCGCGGCACAGGTGGCGCACCCGGCGCACCCGACACGCGTGGGTCCCTGGGGCGCCTGGCGCACCAGGTGGGAGGAGGCGCACCTCGCACGCGCGGCATGCACCTCGCGAGCGCCACGAACCCGGCGTCTGTACTGGTGGCCGCTGCCCATCCAAATCGCGACCCTTGCCAGTGCTGAGACTCGGGTGATGCTGAGGTGGTGCAAGTGCGGATGGGGGTGAGCGAGATGGCCGTCCTACCTACCCCCTCCCCTGGGTGTGGACGGGGGGGGAGCTTAGGGCGTTAGAGCGTCCAAGAAAAGCCAAGATGGCTCCGATACCGACTCCGAGCAAGGATTCTATGGAACAGACCTCCCTCCCATAAGTGAAAGAGCGTGTACAAGACAAACCTCTCTTCCTTGAACAATGGCTTCGCTGTCACCCTCTGATGGGTGAGAAGCACGATTGCGTCCCCCTCAACAGGGGTTTGCCCATCTTCCCCTGTCGTAAAACCTGGCGCGCTGCATACCTGCGCCACGCATGCGAGCCTACACAATGTTTCAAAACACGTTTCGGTGCATCAGCTGGTTTGCAATATACTGGGCCAGTATACACCGAATGCTCAGGCTAGAAGCTGTCTGCGATGGCTGGCTCGTTCCCGACAGCCACGACACGAAGAACAAGCGCTGCCTTTCAACAAAGAACGAGAGAGAGAGAGAGGCAGAGACATGCATAGTGAAATAGGGAGGGGTACAGAAAACCACACATGATTACCATCACAAACGCTCAGGAGGCGAGACTCCGTGATGCCCCGTAACCTGGGCGAGGACCCCAGATTGTCCCGCGAGGTTCCCAGAGGCACGAGGAGGCCACAACGAAGAAGAAACATCGAATACGACCCAATCGTGGAACCTCCATCAACGCTGGCCCCTGAGATTGCCGACCGCCCCCTTCACCAGGGCCGCCCCCGCCGATCGCCCCCGGAGGATCAAGGGTATATCTCAGTGGATGCTTCGCTTCTGCGGTCGTTCGGCCAGGCGGCAAGATTTCGGTCGGGCGTGTCCCCCTACAGGCGGATTTGGCACGAAGAATGAATACCCTCCAAAAAAATAAGCAAAAATCCGTAGCGCGTGCGATGAAGACCAACCAGCTTCGGTGGTCACCATGTCAGTGCGCCGGATTCGGGCAAGACATGCTCGGCATCTCCCCACTCTCTGGTCGAGTTTCTCTGGGCACGGAGCAGCTGAAGCTCAGAGTAGTACGGGCGCAAACCGCCACCCAAAATCCCGGGAGCTGGCTCAAGGGGGAGACCTCGACCTGGAATCGGCGACGCATCGCCGGCAGATCGGCGAGAAGCCATCGAATGCGAAACCGTGTGCTCCTGGGCGGGGGTGGGCCATCAGGCACCCTGTCGTCGGTGCATGGGCTCTGGGGCGGTCGGCGCGTCCCCCCACGAGCCTGCCCGCCCTCATCGCTGCCTCTGGCTCTTGCTTCGGCTCCTCGCCCTGCCGATCCAGCCCGAAGACAAGCCGTCCTCCCACTGGAAGAAACCGAGCATCCACCACACAAAAACGCAAACATGCAGCTTTCGGAAGTCCGTGCGGACGTCTTGGGTCCGCAAAGCACACACACACACACCCTCACACGCACGCTCGCTCGCACGCATTCATGCACACGCACTCAAGTTTTGGCGGTCGCGGCTTCGAGCGCAGCGTCGAGGCGGAAAAACATCTGCAACGACCGGGGCTCCGCGTGCGCAGGGCTCATAAGGGAAGCAGCGCCGTGTGCCATCCAGGCGTGAATTGCGGGCAGAGAAGGAAGACGAAACGACCACTGGCCAGAGGAGGGCCCGCACGGAAGGCGACGTATGCGACACGGGCAGCACGACAGGCGACAAGACGGGCGGACGATCCACCAGCGCGCATTCAGAGAGCGAAGGAGTGAAAGGAGAAACGACGGAGGGGGCGCAAGTGGAGACGGCAAACTGCCATGGAATATGCTCAGCTCCTGGACTTTCGGCTCACGGGAGGGGGGGCCCTAGAGGCTAAGCTGGTAGAAAAAGAAGGCGTAGGGGTCGAAGGTCGCTGGAATCTCCCCAGCGCCATCCGCAGAGCTTGCGGCATTCTGGGTGACCCATTCGCGCCAAAAGGCGGTCGCGAGATGGACTACCAGGCAGGCGCCATCGAAACGATAGAATCTCATATTATTTGGTCGGGATATCATGCAGTTTCGAAAAAGATTATGATATTCCTCTGGCCACGAAGTTGTACTTTTCATCAAGCATATAGATTCCGATGCTGGTCCGATGGTGGTGTGGTGGGAAATGTGAATCACATGATATTCCGATCGTGGTCTGGTAGTGTCCTGATAATGGCGACGTGCCGAACGAAAACCTGAGTGTGCTTCGATTATGGTCCTGTGCCCTGGTAGTCCACCAATGTTGCGGTAGCTATCGTCGATCAAAATATGCTCGAATAGCCCAACCTCGATGTATGATCCAGTTGAGGGGCTGGAAACAGTCTGACACTGTCCGTGGGCGCGTGGCTGAAGCAGGGTTTCGCTGCGCGGACTCATGCTGTTGCTGCTGTTGTCGCCCCGCCAACGACCTGCCCGCGCAACCCTCCTCGACAATCCCTCCCAAGGCACCCATCGGGACGGGCGAAAGGGGGGGATAGCAAAGGGGGGGGGTGAGAATCAGCTCACGTAGCTGATTTTCCCGGCGCCTCCCGGCGCCCGAGGCGACTATGTATCGAGGAATGGGGCCCCTCGGTGAGGCCGAAACCAGCTGCATGCAGCAAATTTCGTAACCCCCCCTTTCCCAATCCCCCCCTTTCGCCCGACCCGAAACGACCTGCCCACGCAACCCTCCTCGACAATCCCTCCCAAGGCACCCAGTGTGTCTGAAGGCGCTTCGAAGTCCGCCGACCCCTCGGAGTCCACGGCACGTGAGATGCCTCCCCTGCCCCCAGGCCCCTCCCCCGGGGGCCCAGTCCGCCCGGGTTGGAAGGAGAACTGGGACACACCAATAGATACACACAGATAAAAATATCCCCCATATTTTCCTATATTTTCGGGGTTTTTGTCTTCCCCCACACTTCCCATATTTTCCCATATGTTCTGGGAATCGCCGATTAATTGTGTCTGTGTGTTTTTTCCCCTCCTGAGGTTTGGAAGGGGGGTGGGGGGCAAAGGTGCCGGCCGCGCGCCTGGAGCCTCAGGAGGCCCCAGATCGGGCCAAAAAGGTTCAAAAAGGGTCCCGGAACGGTCCAAGAGAGCTGCGAGTCGACGAAAGATCGTTCCAAGACGCCGAAGATTGCCTCCAAACGGCCCCATCAGTCCCCAAGACTCTTGAAAAAGTACTACGAAGCGCAAGGCCCCCCAGAAGCGAAAATCGTCCCATTCCCGACGGAAAACGTACATCTTCAACACATTCGCTTTTTGGGCGTCCACGCGGCCCACAACGGTCCAAGAAGCCTCCAAGATCGACCCTCCGCAGCCCAAGAGGCTCCAACAAAAAAATACACGACGGCTCTCAGGCGATCCACGAAGGCTCCAGAAACCATAGCAACGGCCTGGGAGAGCAGCAGGACGGTCCAAAAAGGGCTCCAAAACGGACCAGCAGGGTTCCCAAAGGCTGCCCAGACGGCCCACGCAGGGGACGACTCGGTCCAAGCCGCCCAAGATTGCCTCCAGACGGCCCCATAAGCCCCCAAGACGTTTGAAAACGCGTCCACGAGGAGCTCCTAGAGGGCGTCCAACAGCAACAACCGTCCCATTCCCTCCGGAAAACATACGTTTTCAGTACAGTCGCCTCTTGGGCCCCCGCGCGGCCTACAACGGCCCAGTAGACCTCCAAATTCGACCCCCGGCACCCCCAAAGGCTCTCAAAAAAGGCTCCACGACGGCTTCCGGGCGCACCACAAAGCCTCAGAAACCACAGCAAAGGCCCAGGACGGCCCCACGAGAGCCCCACAGAGGGCCAAGAGGGTCCCCCAAAGCCTTCTGGACGGCCCACGAGGGGGACGATTCGGATCAAACCGCCCCAGTTTGCCTGCAGAAGGTTCCCCAGAGGCCCCCGAGACGTTTGGAAAAGCTACTACGAGGCGCTCCACGAAGGCCTCCAGAAGCAAAAATGATCCCACTCCCTGGGGGAAGTATACATTTTCAACACATTCGACTCTTGGGCTTCCACGGGGCCCACGACGGCCCAAGAAGCATCGAACATCGACCCCCTACAGCCCCAGAGGCTTTCAAAAGGGTTCCAAGACGGCCTCCGGGCGCCCCACGAAGGCCCCAGAAACAACCGCAACGGCCCAGGAGAGCCGCAGGACGGCCTCAAGAGGGCCCCAAAATGGGCCAAGAGGGTCCCCAAAGGCCTCCTGGACGGCCCACGAGGGCTAAGAGTCGTCGAGAGATCGCTCCAAAACGCTCCAAATCGCCTCCCGGCGGTTCTACAGGCCCCCAAGACGGCCCAAGAAACCGCCCGGAGACGTCCCAAAAGGATTTCCAGAAGCGTAAAGCGTTTCATTTTCTGTGAACAACATACATTTCCAGCACGTTCCGTTCGCCTCTTCGGCTTTCACGACGCCCACAACAACCCAAGAAGCCTTCCAGATCGACCCAACACGACCCAAAAAGGCCCCCACAGGGACTCCAAGACACCCCAAATAGGCGCCAAGAGGCCCCAGAAGCCACCAAACCAACCCAGGACGGCCCCCAAAAAATCCCAGAATGGGTCCCACAAGGCTCCCCTCAAAGGCCCCCTAGAGACGCCTCAACGCGCCACCAGGACGCGTCCCAAGAGGCCCAGCAGAACCAAGTCTCGGCCCCTTCCCGAAAGTAAACGTCTAAGTTTAACACACTCGCTTCTTGAGCTTGCACGAGTCACACAGCAGCCCAAAAAGCCACCAAAATCAACCCAGAAGCCCCTGCATGCCCCCAAAATGGCTCCCAGACGGCAAAAACGAGCCCCAACAAGGCCCCCGAAGCCACCGGGGGGAGCCCCCAGACGGCCCCAAGAGGAGGGTAAGAAGAGTAACCATTCGAACACTTCGCCCCGAGAAAACATGAAAGGGGGCCAAAATGCACCCAAGAGGCCCTGACGACGAGGATCCACCATGACACCGAATGACCCCGGGGCCCGGAGGCGGCCCTTCGACGACGAAAACAAAGAAAAGACTGACAATACGAAGACTCTGCAGCAAAATTCTTCTTCCCCACTCAGAAATCGTTCGCCAGGGGCCCTCCGGACCCGTGCCGGAATCCAGTCGCAGTCGTTTTCCCAAACGCACCCAGCCGCGGCGACCGGGGAGGGGCCCGGCACCCCCCAACCACAACAAACCTCCCGAGTCCGACGGGCTACTCAGCAAAGGCTCGTTCCCCGAACCTTAAAACAGTGCTAGGATCGGGATAAATCGCTCCAGAGCGTTCCGGAGCGCTCTCAGAGCGTTCCGGAACGCTCTGGAGCGGCCGCGGCGCCCAATACATCCTCCAAACCCGCCGATTCTCAGAGATTTCGAGTTACCCCGATCCGATTTTGTCCCGATCTTCGCGTCGTTTTAGAACCTCTCCCCAGGTCCGCTGATGCAATTTCTCGCCCCAGGCCCGTGCGGTTTTGAAAATCCTGGGGCCCGGCAGCGGCCCCCGGAGACCGAAACCTGTCAAAAGCAACAACTCTTCGAACAAAAATCTCTGGAGAAAGGCGGTCGGAACTGCCGCGGGCATCTGCCTCGATCGAGAAGAAAAAGAGAAGGACGAGGAGGAGGAGGAGGAGGAGGAGGAGGAGGAGGGGGAAAAAACAAAAAATATTTCGTCGTCGCCGCCGATGTCTCACATAGTTTCGCGGTGTTTCGGCCACCCGAAGCATCGCCTCGAATTCGGCCTCCAGGAACCGTTTTCGGTGCCCGTGACCGCCGCCGAGGGTCTGGGGATGAGGATCGACCTCCCTGGCCAGCGCCACCCCTTCGCAAAGGAAGGAACACGGGGTGGATCGAGGCTCGAGGCATGAGGCTCCTGGTTCTTGGGCGCTCTCCGCCTCTGGGCCTTCAGGAAGCTCCTCGTCGACACAGCTGGATGCACTCTCGAACTTCTGGCCGGACGCACCCCCAGCTGGGTCTCAACGATCCCCGAGCCTATCCAGAGGGTAGAAAAGGATGCCCGGGACAGGCCCTGCGAAGGCCCCAAGAAACCCGCATAAGACCACGAAAAACTTCAAAACAATCCCCTACAAGCCGCCCCCCCTTGAACCCCACACGCTACGCAGGACAGGCCGAAACCCCAAGATTGCCCAACGATCGCGCGCGTTCCGCAAATTCCGTCGTTCACTGTTGCTGCCGCCCCAAGGGGTCGGCGGTGCGGCGTAAGCCAATGAATAGTCAAAACATAATCCAAAAATCGTCCCCAGACTGTTTCTTTGCTATGTTTGACTACTCCTCCTGTAGAGGGACACGCCCGACTTAAGGCAAGACGTCGATCGCGCAGTTGGGAGGAACAAGGGGAGGAGGGCGGAACAGACTGCATCTACGGGCCGAGAGCGTCATGCACCGCAGCGCCGACTGGGGCCCTTTGTGCCACAACCGTCCTCCTCCTGCTCCTCATCCTCATCCTCTTCCTCCTCCTCCTCCTCATCACCACCACCACCACCATCGTCATCAAAATCATCAGCAGCAGCATCGTCATCATCAGCAGCAGCATCATAATCATCATCATAATCATCATCATCATCATCATCATCATCATCATCATCATCATCATCATCATCATCATCATCATCATCATCATCATCATAATCATCATCATCATCATCATCATCATCATCATCATCATCCTCATCATCATCCTCATCCTCATCCTCATCCTCATCCTCATCCTCATCCTCATCCTCATCCTCATCCTCATCCTCCTCATCCTCATCCTCATCCTCATCCTCATCCTCATCCTCATCCTCATCCTCATCCTCATCCTCATCATCCTCATCCTCATCCTCCTCCTCCACCTCCTCCTCCTCATCATCATCATCA